GAAAGCGCACAAAAAAGTTGGAATTCACTTTTTTTCTACCTCCACCCTTAAGCGAGTAACGGGCGATTTTCTGATTTTGCCCCCAAAATTGGGGGAAAATTTCCGAAATTTTTGCCAACTTTTGACGCAAGAGATAATGGGAAATTCTGAGCACGCCACTGGATGCAGCAGGCTAAAGGGCGTAAAAGCCTTCCATTCTGTCACAACTTTGACAGATCAAATGCCAAATTTCCAAAAATTCCCCAAAAGTCCGGCTCAAAACCAAAAAACCCCCAACAACTCGCTTAGGGATGAATTTTCAGAAAAACCGACCTCCACACTTTTCATGGGGAAGGACCCCTTCTAGCCAGTGGCGGGTGCCAAATTGCACCAGCGGTCATTTTTGGAAATTTTGCTGGATTTGGGCGCCCCATTTTCCCCATTTGCGCCAAACCCCCCGGGAATACAACCGTGAAAATTCCCAGTTAGAGTCGCCTGGCCATCCTGGAGGTTTCACCAAGAGCAAAATTTTCCGATCCGGGGCCCCATTTTCGAGAAAAACCCAAAACAATGGCGCCAGTCGCCTTCCTTCACCAGCCGAGGGGCGGCAACAGGGGGCAGAGTCTGAGGGTGTTCGCACCTCCAAACCTCCCTCTCCTCATCATTGCATGGCCAAGATCCGGTTCACCTCCAGGGTGGGTTCCTTGATCGGGCTCAATGCTCCGGTGTGTTTTAGACCTCATGCGGAGCCCCATTCGTGTGGGCAACGAACCCACCTTGAATGGTGCTGAACTGGCGGCAGAAGAACTGGACGATTCCAATTCATTTACCTCGGCAAGTAACCTTTAAAGTGTAAAAATCCCAAACGATCACAATGACCTTTGAATGATCAGTCAGTCAGTCAGAGTCCTCTCGGTTCGAAGAACCGAGAAAAAAATGCAGACTAGACCGATTCTTCTGAGCTGCTATTCTAGGGTGAGCGCCCGGACCCTGGGGTCTGCCCTGGATCGACCCTAAGGCGCCCTTAAGGCGCTGTAGTTTTCACAACAATTTTCTAAAATTTCGGGGATTTTGATGAATTTGGGCATTTTTGGAAAATTTGCACCTCCGACGGGGGTTTTTCCTTTCGGATCAACATGCAGGTGCCTCTTCCTCAGTGCCTCCTTGGGCTCATTTTGTGCAGAAGAGTGTGCTTTATTTATTGCAAAAAATTGACATTTTCCTTTGGGGGCGTTTTTTGGATATTTTGGTCAATTTTCAAACCTTTACCAGGAATTTTCTGATTTAGAAATTTTGCAAGCGATTTTTCCAAAGTGCCTCCTCACGAAACCAGACGATGTAGAGGGTTGATTTTGGGCTCATTTTGTGCAGAAGAGTGTCCTTTAGTGACTAAAAAAAATTGACATTTTCCTTTGGGGAAGTTGTTTGGAGATTTTGGTCAATTTTTAAACCTTCACTAGGAATTTTCTGCTTCAGAAATTTTGCAAGTGATTTTTCCGAAGTGCCTCCTCAACAGACCAGACGATGTAGAGAGTTGATTTTTGGCTCATTTTGAACAGAAGAGTGTCTTTTACTTACTACAAAAAATTGACATTTTCCTTTGGGGAAGTTTTTTGGAGAATTTGGTCAATTATCAAACCTTCACCAGGAATTTTCTGCTTCGGAAATTTTGCAAGCAATTTTCCCAAAGTGCCTCCTCATGAAACCAGAGGATGTAGAGGGTTGATTTTGGGCCCATTTTGTACAGAAGTTTGTACTTTAGTTACTGCTAAAAATTGACATTTTTCTTTGGGGGAGTTTTTTGGAGAATTTTGCAAATTATTTTTTCAAAGTCCCTCCTCAACAGACCAGGCGATGTAGAGAGTTTATTTTTGGCTCATTTTGTACAGAAGAGTGTTCTTTGGTTACTACAAAAATTGATATTTTCCTTTGGGGGATGTTTTTGGAGATTTCGGTCAATTTTCAGACCTCCAATAGGAATTTTCTGCTTCAGAAATTTCGCGAGAGATTTTTCCGCATTGCCTCCTGAAGAAACTAGAGGATGTAGGGAGTTGATTTTTGACTGATTTTGTACAGAAGAGTGTCCTTTAGTGACTACAAAAAATTCACATTTTCCTTTGGGGAAGTTGTTTGGAGATTTTGGTCAATTTTTAAATTTTCACTAGGAATTTTCTGTTTCAGAAATTTTGCAGGTGATTTTTTCGAAGTGCCTCCTCAACAGACCAGACCATGTAGAGAGTTGATTTTTGGCTCATTTTGTACAGAAGAGGGTCTTTTACTTACTGCAAAAAATTGACATTTCCCTTTGGGGAAGTTGTTTGGAGATTTTGGTCAATTTTCAAACCTTCACTAGGAATTTTCTGCTTCAGAATTTTTGCAAGTGATTTTTCCAAAGTGCCTCCTCAAGAAACCAGAGGATGTAGAGAGCTGAGTTTTGGCTCATTTTATACAGAGGAGTGTGCTTTAGTTACTGCAAAAAAATTGACATTTTTCTTTGGGGGTGTTTTTTGGAGATTTTGATCAATTTTCAAACCTTCACCAGGAATTTTCTGCTTCAGAAATTTTACAAGCGATTTTTCCAAAGTGCCTCCTCAACAGACCAGACGATGTAGAGAGTTGATTTGTGGCTCTTTTTGTACAGAAGAGTATGCTTTATTTGCTACAAAAAACTGAGATTTTCCATTGGGGGAGTTTTTTGGAGATTTTGGTCAATTTTCAAACCTTCACTAGGAATTTTCTGCTTCGGAAATTTTGCAAGTGATTTTTCCAGAGTGCCTCCTCAAGAAACCAGATGATGTAGAGAGTTGATTTTTGGCTCATTTTGTATCGGAGAGTGTGCTTTATTTTCTACAAAAAATTGTCATTTTTCTTTGGGGGAATTTTTTGGTGATTTTGGTCAATTTTCAAACCTTCACCTGGAATGTTCTGCTTCAGAAATTTTGCAAGCGATTTTTCCAAAGTGCCTCCTCAACAGACCAGACGATGTAGAGAGTTGATTTTTGGCTCATTTTGTACAGAAGAGTGTACTTT